TCTCTCTCTCTCTCTTCTCCCCTGTCTCTCTCTCTCTCTTCTCCCCTGTCTCTCTCTCTCTCTTCTCCCCTGTCTCTCTCTCTCTCTCTTCTCCCCTGCCTCTCTCCTCCCCTGTCTCTCTCTCTCTCTTCTCCCCTGCCTCTCTCTCTACTCCCCTGCCTCTCTCTCTACTCCCCTGCCTCTCTCTCTCTTCTTCCCTCTCTCTCCTTTCTGGACCAGATCTGGAACGCAGTGGCATTGCGTTTTTGCCATGTTTTTACGGTGATTTTGCTGCGTTTGAATTTTTTTTAGTTGTGCCTAAAATGGGCTTACAGGTGCATTCCAGTCCGTTTGTATGCATTTTTGATGCGTTCCAGTGCATTCCAGACCAGGCAAAATGAGACATGCAGTATTTTTCTGGAATGGACTGCGCTGGTGTGAATAGAGGCCAGAAATAGCATAGGGATACATTAGGATGCATTTTGGGTCCGGAAACAATCTGGTCTGGTCTCGAGATGATCTGGACATGGTGTGAATGGTCCCTAAATGGTCTTTTAAAGCCCAACTCCAGCCGAAGGGTTTGGGGTAAAAAGTGGTAGAATACCTGTTGGGTACTTAAATTTGTTTCAGACTCAACTGATAAGTTCTCCTATCAAGAGCTTGTGTCTCTACTCCCACCCAACAAGCCATAATGATCATGTCACCCTTACATCAAGACTCCCCGGAGCTCTTCCAGCATGGTTGGAAAAAATAGGTTTATGCTTCCATCTGGCTTATTACAAGGGAGCAATGGCTTTACAGAAGAACAATCACATGACAGCTAATGAGGTAGACAGCAGGAATTCTGAAGGGCAATGATCAGGTTTTTCTAGCGGGTAGATAGCAAACCTTCCAAGATGACCTGCAACGTAGTGTAAAGAATACTCCACACCTGAACGTCTCGTAGTGAACTCTTGCAAAGAGTCTGTTTAATTTTCCGTTGATTTAAAGTTTAACTCTGGCTGAACGTTTTGAGGGTTTTTTTTATTCATAGTGTGAGGTTTGATCCCTGTCATCTGTTAAGAAGATTATGCCTCAATTCCTGGGGTCAGAGAGACAGGAAGTGATGTGAGAGCTCTGGGACAGAAGCAGCAACTAATAGATTTCACTTTGTTCATCCTTTGTACTAGGGATGCACAGATACTATTCGAGTACCAGTGCAGATACTTGGCATTTTCAGGAGAACTACCAGGGTTGTAGTGGTTGCAGCTGGGACCTGGCTCTGGCGCCCCACCACTGTCCTGAAATCATTAGTCTGTATTTTAGAAAAACTGTCACATGACAATAAACAAAAATGTATCAGTACTTGTACTTGTAAGTACTTGGCAAGTACCAGTACTCGCAAAAATGGTATCGGTGCATCCCTTTATTTATATTTATAAAAACAAAATCGTACATTAAAACAGAGATGTACAAATCGCGGGAGCTGCGTGTGCTCCTTACAAGTGAAAGCTGCCTCCTAATTTTTTAATTTTTCTCTAGTGTAGTCTTGGAGCTCAAAAGTATCGGTACATGTACTCGTACTTGTACCGAGTACTGTACTTGGTATCTGTGCAACCCTACTTTGTACCCTCAATGTATTTCTGATCTACTGCAACCTCCTTGCTGGTACTTTCTGTCTACACGCGCTTCAGTGATGGCTGCATGGCATTTCTGGTGGTGGGTTTCCTGATGGTGACAACTGTGGATGATGTCTGCATAATGTGTAGAAGTGGCTTCTTGTAGTCTCCCTCTGAAACCTCTGTGGCAGGGTGACAACACAGGAGTACAGTTTCGAGACGGGGATAGAGCATTGTCGCCCTATAACAGGAAGTACTTGAACAAGGATCTTTAAGGCAGGATCATCAGGTATTATTTTTATGAAAGCTGAATGGATTCTTTAAGTATGTATTAGGGAACCAGTGACGCTGTGACTAGCCCCTAGCAGATTAAAAAAATAGCTGAAGTTCCTCTGAAACATATGTTGATAGTACTCACATTCACATATATATATATCCAACAGAAAGTTTTAAGTTCCATGTAATATACTTAACAGATGAGAAGTGAAGGTCTGAACCCTTGTTATAAGAAAGTAGATGCCGTATCAAGGTTTGAACACCGCAAATGTACGAACCGTTACATGAATTATGATGGATACAATTGTGGACTCGTTCTGTGGCCGTTCTCCTCCGCCTGTCCTTAGTAACCTGTCATTTCGGGGGAGCTCTGGTTTCTATGGCTGGCAGAGGTAGCACAGACTTTGCTTTTGTAATGTCTGAAGTTTAGACATGTTGATATATAACACTGTTCCTCCGGAGCTGGTCTCAGGACTCCAGATAGTGGAAGTGATCCAACAGGTCAGAATCGTTCAACGAGTTCACCATACAAGTCCATGAAAACCCAGGAATAAACGTTTACTGTGTGCGAAGGAAATGGGCTGATTTATACTGGTTTAATAATTCTACAAATATTCCTCAAATTAAAAACTAAGATTATTTGCGTGAGATGAATGGGCAAAAGTCTAGTCTTGAGAGAATTGCTGGAGGAACTTTATGCTGGAAGTCGTAAGTCAGTTTTGCAAATGGACTATGTTAGGCAGCTTTGGCTAGGGTTAGTGGCATCTCCAGCCAAACAACTAGCTGCATAGTTCAGGCACATAGAGAGGAAAATCTTAACTTTCCAGAAGTAATACATAAACAATGGTGAGCCCTTTGGCCATGCAGTGCTATATAGGCCTGTGTCTGTGCAGTGACTGTGGCTGCCCTTTGGACTACATTACCTGGTGATGTCTCATCGTGAGCTATTCCATGAGTCACTTCTCCCTGCTCAGGGCTGAAGGCTGATTTCAACCCTTTAAAGAATAAGTTCATTTTTAGATGACGTGCACTTATTCATTTTGCCCCATCCCCTGATCTACAAAATCCAACCCTAACCTTCATAGATCTCTACATATCGAGAGCCAGTGCTTCACTGTTTGTTGACATCCAGCGCTGCAAGTCTCCATCTCCTGCCCGCATCCCTCTCCCAGCTGGGAAGCGGCTCCATAGAAGTCTATGGGGTTGTAATGTGCAGGTGTGGCCTGCAGAGGGAGCATTGTGGTGCTGAATGTAAACAATAGCAGAACCGTGCCTTTTGGATCTTGGTAAGTACTGATCTACAAATTGGGAGAGTGGGATTGTTTAGGTCGGAAGTGGGGGGCAAAAGATCAGTGCACTTTGTTTTCATGTGCATTTTTCCTTTAAAGTACAACTGACCTGACCTAAAATATTTTCAAGGTAACAACAATACTGAGGATGCCTGCAACTATCTGTGTTTTTTGAAGCATTCTTCTACAGTCCGAGTCTGCAGAGAAGTTACAGCATATAAGATCAGTGACACAAGTGCTTTTACTATATAGCCTGGTTTTCTAGGAGATGTCAGTAGGGCCCGGTCAGCTCTGTTTAAGTAGCACAAGATAGATACGTTGTTTGGATAAGCAGAAGCAAGAATCCACAACCATGCTTCTAGTGTGGTGGCCCCAATTCCTGTAAAATGTAGGTCTTTTCCTGGAAGCAAGTGGATCCAGCATTCTTTACTGTGCAGGCCTGCCAGGCCCTGTACAGCTTTGCTTATGGAAACGTCCATGCCGGAGCCTTTTCAGCCTGTCTCCCATTTATTCTTATCGGGAACCATACACATGGTGACTTCCAACTGTCCAGTAGGCTCTCCCCACAGGAGTAAATAGGGCTGCAAAGCAAATGTGCAGACTGACGGCAAACCAGCACGGACGTTTTTAAGAAGCACGCCTGTGCAGCACCTGGGGGAGAATGCTGGATTGCCACACTGGCATTTTCACTTGGCCAGAAGTCAAATACACGCGTATAGCCCATTTTACGTCAACTCAGTTTAGTTTTTAACAAACCTGTATCCAGACACTTGTATAGAGACCTGGTGAATGTTTTAGGCCTGTTATATTAAAGTCTGATGATAACTGATACCTTGAGTTCAATGGTAAAATATGCATAACAATGCAGCGCGTGTAATGTCAACTAGGCCTTTGTAAAGCTGTTGGGCAGTTGGGGATCCAGTTGGAGATACAGTAGAGAGCATCTGATACAGTTAGAGATACAGTAGAGACCACCAGGCCTTGCAGACGTTAGATTTGCTCCTGGGTTACCTGTGATTTCTCTTCCTTGTAGATGACGATACAGATATCATATTCATGGACAACGAAGGTGATTTTGGCACGAGAGACACTCTGAGCATTGCTTCACCAGACTCTTTCTCCTCAGCTATGGAGGTAAACAAGATCCCCTTTTATACAATACTCTTGTAATTGTATTATTGTTGTTTGTATTATCTTTTATAATATATGTAATTGAATAAAAACACAGTGCACATGCATACAGGTACAGGGGGGGACACAGGAGGGACTTTATCTTGGGTAGCTTTTAACACCCATGGTTTAGCATTTTGCCTAGCAAAGTGCTCTCCCCCCCCAGCCACAAAGTGCTTGGTAAACCAATGGGCTGAGTACACGCTTTTTTGACCCGGTGTTTGCAGGGCAAGAGAGAGAACAGCCTGCCAGTAACCCATAAACCACAGAAATGGACCACTGAGGGAATATGTGGCCGGGCTATGGACATTCAAGTACTTAACGCTAAACTGGAGCTGGACTTGCTTGTTAATCTGTTTCAATTATTCACTTCCCTTTACTTGGGTGAAATATACTGGATGTGGGAAGTGGACATTCAGCAAATTGAGCCTATATAAGCTGAGGGTGGCAGCCATTTTGTGGGCAGTTTCATATATGAAAGTGAGGAGAGGCACTCGCTGTGCACAGTGGGGGAATTTATTAAAGCCTTAACAACACTTTTCTGGCAGTATGGACCTTTTTAAAAGGTCCTGCACCAAATTCAGAAATGCCGTCGCCAGTTTTGGTCGCTTTACCGACACTTCAGACAGATTCAAGTAGTTCTTATTACCGCCACCTTAAGAATGTGTCGCTATGGCTGCGACAGATTAAAAAAGAATTACCAACAGTTTACAGATTGGAAAACTGGCGGTAATTAAGACTGACTCTGATCCGGTGTACATAGAGACACTAGTGCTCAGAGAGGGGCATGTATGTGCTGGAAGCTGCCATGACAGCTTGACGTTCAATGGTTGCTAGGATACCGGGTTGCCAGAGTCCTAACAACCAATTATGCTTCCCCAGCCCTATTCAGCTACCAGCCGGAGATTCCCCAGCGGGCAGCTGAATGTAATCAAAGGGGCCGGGGATGCTGGCTGACTTCTTTACTCATATAGGGCCATATTTGGGTCATGATTTCAACCAGGATCCCTCTTGTTTACATTTAAGCAGGCAGGAGGTAATGATTTCAACCAGGATCCCCGTCATTTACATTTCAGCAGGCAGTGGGCAGGTGCCATAGCCAATAGCAGGCTGGCTATGCACCAACAGTGGGCATGTACAGCACCCTACTAGCCAGCCATGATCTTCCTGCATTGCATTGAGAAGCATAGAGATCCCGTGATGATATCACTGAGTCAAAAATAAGGTATGCAAAAAAAGGGGAAAGGTTTTATTTTAAAAAATCATTAGCGTGTTGAAGAGGAGGAGGGAGGAACCAGGGAAGGCAAAATATAAGCAGATTATATATTCTAAACATACAGTAAATGAGTTTTAAAACAAGCACTGACTGACCTCTTAGTCTTAAGGCCGTGACACACTGCACACGAAGCAGTGCAGAGCGAAGCAAAGCTCTCCGGCACGGAGCTTCGCGTGCAGTGTGTGAGCTGAGTGCAGTCAGATGATTGACTGCGCCTTCAGCCAATCGGCTCGTCTGTAACAACCGGCCAGACGTTGCATCCCGTCGCGCCAGTTTATATGCGCGAGCCAATTGGCTGAAGTTGAAATTGTTCATCTCGGCACGCTCAGCTCTGCGAGCTCTCGCAAGCTGAGGTGCCGAGAAGAAAGTGACATGACACACTGCTCGCAAAGGCAGCGCGCCACCGCTCCGCGCTGCTTCGCGTGCAGTGTGTCACGGCCTTCATTCCCTGTTTCCCCCACCCAAAAGTGAATCAGCAGCTCAGCTTCCCTTCGCAGCAGCCTTCCAGCCTTTAAATCTCTTAGCCCTCGTTCACACCTGAACGTTTTGTAGCGCGTTCTACGCTCGACGAACGCCCTACAAAACGCTCAAAAATATAAATCCCATTGTATTCAATGGTCTCGTTCCCACCTTGGCGTATTTCCGCCCGTCCCTAACGCGCTACAAAACGGCCCACGCCTGAAAAGGTACATGTACTACTTTGGGCCGTTTTGTTGCGCGTTTCCATTGGGATATAGCCAAGTAGGCTTCGGAAACGCGCGACGGTTGCGCAACTTTTTGACCGCAGATCGCGGTAAAAAAACGCCGACAGACGCGCATATGCAATACGCCTAGGTGTGAACGAGACCTTATGTAAACACATAGTAGGAGCTCCGGCTTTGGGAGAGCGGGAGAGATTAGCTGTGAAGACGACTGACTTGAAAAATCTCAACACTTCTGTTTAATTTGAGGATGAATTGCTCAACAGTACCTGCAGCTACACTGGTAGGTGAGGGCTTCTTGCTCAAGATTTTTTAATGCTTGCTAAGAATATGTAAATACTTACGGACTATGTAATGTCCATAGCCAGACCACAGATTTTACTTTAAGGATGAGCATGAATTTAGTATGTCTCGATGATGGGAAGAACAGAGGCTTAATGGTTCTGGCGCACTTCTGGGGGGTCCCTGGTTCAAATCCCGGTCAGGACACTATCTGCAAGGAGTTTTTTATATTCTCCCTGTGCTTGCGTGGGTTTCCTCCAGGTACTTCAGTTTCCACTCACACTTCAAACACATGCTGGAAGGTTAATTGGCTCCGGTCTAAATTGGCCCTGTATGTATGTGACATAGAGACCTTAGATTGTAAGCTCCTTCGGGGCAAGGACTGATGTGAATGTGCAACTATGTAAAGTGCTGTGTAAATTGTTGGCGCTATATAAGTACCTGTAATAAATGAAATAAATGCATTCACAGGAGAATGAGTTATTAATGTCACTTAGAGATGTGCAGTAGAGTATAATGTATATCAAGTTTTGATTCAGAATCTTATAGCCCTAAGGAAGTTGCAGTTCCTTCTTACCCTTCCATTGCCTGATCTTCAGTTCTTCCTTGTGTCTGAGCTATAGTCTCCTGACCCAGCCTTATATTGGCATCTTTGCAATGCATGCTCCATAATAATAATAGTCCATTCTGCTAGACTAACAATGCTATAAAATGTATATAGAATTAGCGTGAAATGTGACCCTTTACATCCTCTCCCTTCCTTCCACTCTCAGGATTTCTAGGAATCTTTAGCGAAAGCATTTGCTGAACAATTCAGCTGTCGCTGGGTGGTTGAAACTCTCCAAATACCTCTATACATCTTCTAGAGTGAAAACTGCGCTGTCTTAAAGCAGCACTATCAATATTTCATTTTAACCTTCGTTATATATTGTCCATATGAAAAAAATTAAATTTTAAAGATTTCGTATTTATAAGGGGCATGTGCTGTGGAAATTGTAGCCGGACTGTAGAGTGATAGGTTGGCTGTTCAGTCTCCATATACAGTACATGCAATGGGGATTGTATCACATACTTGTTATTAAAGGAGAACTATGGAGTCAGGGCTTTTCCCCATAGTTCTCCGTAGGGTAACGGGAGGCAACAAACTAGCGTCCTCCCGTCCCCCTAACCTCAGTATCCCGCGAGCTACAGCTCGCGGTATACTGAGACGCCGCAGCCAGAGCGGATCCCGACATCGATGTCGAGACCAGCCCAGCTGCGTGAGTGACAGCTGGCTCTGCCTCTAGATAGGCAGAGCCAGCTGTACCCTCCCCCGTCCGTTCCGCCAATCAGGGCTGGAGGATCGGAGGGGGGAATCCAGCCCCTCCCCTGTCACGGCAGAGAGCCATGACAGGATCGAGAGGTGAGCGAACCCGGTATGTGTTCGCTCACCTCCCGATCTACTGAGCCGACCTGTGACAGTCTCATTGTCACAGGTCGGCTAGAACTATGAGGAGAGTGAAAAGCACTCACCTCATAGTTCTCCTTTTAATGTGGAACTTCAGTCAAAATGTTCGGTTTCAGATAGGTTGGCATAGATTTAAAATCTCTTTTTTTTGCCACTGACTGTGTTCCCCTTTGGGGTGATTTCTCTTCACGTCCGATCAAGGAACCCCACCTTTTGACAGCTGTCAGCAGAATCACTAGAACATTTCCCCTCTACTCCTATTCTAGTGACCGATGGAAGGTAAGTCTCATCACCTTTTGTCTGGTATCGGTGGTTATCCGGACAAACAGCGGGTAAACCTACCCATTCGGGACATAGACAGTAATAAGAACCTAACAAAGAATCTAACCCTTTGGGCCCCTTCACACTATAGCGTTGCAGTAATACACATTCAATATGTATGTGTGATGCGGTGCCATTCATTTTACATGGCACCCCAATGTACTTTCTGTGTTGCGGCATGCTACAATATGCGAAACAGTAGAAAGGTATCATGGCACACTCCCAAACCAGCATGTAAAACAATATAATACATGCTACAATATGTGTTACAGTGTGCTGGCAAAAAAACAGCACATGCACCATTTTATTTTGCAGCATGCCACAATGCACGTCCATTGGAGGGTACATGGTGATGCCATTTAGAGTGAATGGCGCTGTATCACACCAATGCATTCAATGTGCGTTGCTGTAGTGCCATTATGAAGTAGTTGTGGCTGGACTTTTAAGGGCCTGTGCTGACGGGCTTTTGTTTACATCAGCAATGCTTCTCTACTAGTGATGGGCTCGGGCGTGTTTGCAGCTCCACGTGCAGAGCCCACCAGGAAGCTGACAGTGCCGCAGCGCCAATCACAGGTACTGAGACATTATCCCGGTCCGCAGCTGCAGAGATCGGGATATGTCTCAGTGCCTGTGCGCTGTCAGCTTCCTGGCAGGCTCAGCACGTGGAGCTGCAAACATGTACTAAAAGAGAGACTCTTAAAGGGTATCTATAATCAAAAACTAAGCTGGCCATACACCTTTTAGATTTCTTTTGTTTAGCCCCCCGGGGTGAACGAGAGAAATCGGTTGATTCCCCCATCCGTGCTAAACAGCATGGATGAAGGAATCTCTGCTGTTGGCGATTGTATTTAGCAACCGGCGGCACCCACGGCTGCTGAACGCCTAAAAACAGTCACTGTTTAGCCAAATTCTTTTGACTAAAGTTGATTGAGCCAGGTGGTGCCATCTGGGTCACCCACTCAAATTCTGGCTCATTCAGCAGGAAACGGACAAAATGTAAGCAGTGAATGGGCAGCCTTGGGCTGTTCAGTGCAAAGTGACAATGTCTTCTACTAGCCCCCAATACCCATTGTTCTGTGCTTCCTTGCCCAACTTCCTGTTCCATCAAAGCCTGTGTTCATTGCTCTAACAGAAGGACTGCTGAGCAAGGGGAAGCTTGTAACTGTCCCTGTGTGATTGTCCTTGGGCTTGAAGGGCCCATGTGGACACCTATGTTGGGGAGGTGGCAAGGGAATGCAGATCTGTGAGTATTTGTTGACTACCAGGAGGCACTGCCACTTTGCCAGAATAGGCAGGAGACAGTATCTATTTAATGGAGTTCTTCTTTAAATTGAACCTGTCAACCATTTAAAAGTAAAACCCTTGCCTAAGAGCACACATCTCTCTTCCCTGTTACCTTTGTGAAGGTCCCCACACACCTTCCAATAATCGTACGATAATCGCGGGAAATCCCGCGATCATACGATTATCGTAAGGTGTGTGGAAGCCGTGCGACCTCTACTACTGTAAGGTCGCACGACTTTAAACTTACGAACATGTTTGCAAACCCGCCGAGCATTGCACGATGTTCGGCGGGTGTGTAGCATGTTCGTAAGATAAATGCCGGACGGGCCGGTGTGCGCAAGCAGTAATCAGAAGCCCGCCCCTCAGGGGGCGTGGCTTGCGATCATCGCAAGTACGATCTGCCTATGCAAGATAGGCAGATCGTACATTTTTTTAAGTACAATACAACCATCGCAAGACAAAAGTCTTGCGATGGTTGTAAGGTGTGTGCCCAGCCTTAGCCTGTAAATTGTGTATGCCTCTCCAAAACTAGTTTCACTATGTTATCTAGAACAGGCACCATGTGGGACCTGCTTTCAGGTAGGACCGTTACTTGTTAACTTTCATAACAGCTGACAGGTCCTCTTTAAATCTGCTTCTTTTTGAGCAAAGTTATTTTCCATGTGGTTTAATCTCAAGTATGGTCATTGTATATACAGGGAAAATATGCGTGCCTCATTCTGACAAATTAGTGTATAGTCACTAATGTAAACATCAGATGCTTATATGTTGCTAGTTTCTGAAACAGCCGCCAAGAATTTGTAGCGGGGAGCAGATTCGAGATCAGACATAAATACTCCACAAGTCTGTGTTGCTGGCTTATGAAATGACATAAATCACCGATGAGGGCCCGGATATGCAGAAGTACACGGAGTAAAGGTCCCATTACATCCAGTCTTTGTGTCCTTCGCTGGGACATTTCCTGTTACATTTCCTGTCTGATATCCGGAATTAGGCTGACCACAAGGCTGTACATCACAGATCGGGAGCTGATGGTACATGTACCTCCAGGGGTACTTCTACGTGGTGAAATGCATTCATCATATCAGGAGAGAGATTTAGCAAATGGTTACACAGATACAAAAGAGATTTATAAACCGTGCAGTATTATTTATGAAACGTTTATTCTCTCCTTGTTAAGATGTGATATACGGTGTGATGCGGGGAAAGAGCTCTCTATAGGTTGTAGAACTGCTTTCAGCCAGTGACCACCACACTACCACCACCGTCATGGGTTGTAGAACTGCTTGCAGCCAGAGACCACCACACTACCACTGCAGTCATGGGTTGTAGAACTGCTTTCAGCCAGTGACCACCATGCTACCACCATGGTTATAGGTTGTAGAACTTCTTGCAACCAGAGACCACCACACTACCACTGCAGTCATGGGTTGTAGAACTGCTTGCAGCTAGAGACCACCACACTACCACTGGGGTCATAGGTTGTAGAACTGCTTGCAGCCAGAGACCACCACACTACCACCGCAGTCATGGGTTATAGAACTGCTTGCAGAAAGAGACCACCGCACTACCACTGCGGTCATGGGTTTTAGAACTGCTTGCAGCCAGAGACCACCACACTACCACTGGGGTCATGGGTTGTCTAACGCTGTCTATTCTGTGTTTTGTAGCTGGCAGACCAAAGAGAGCTGTGCAGGGGGAATAGCATGCAGTCACTCTACCACTGCCCTCTGTATGAAGAAGCAATGTGCCTGTCTGAGGAAGGTGGGATTCCATGCAGGGCACTCAGGTGAGGGTGACGTGATCAGCTGTGTTTACAGGTTTACCTTCCTGTGTAATTCTTCATTTGCTGTTTTTAATCCATTCAGAACTGCAAAAGAGTCAGGACTGTAAAGCGGGCCATGCACTGCTAGATTTATGTAGGAACGTGCATACTAACAATCTCATCGGAACATTTGATAACATCAGAGACTTGACAAATGTTGTTCAAAATTTCTTTTGGATTTTCCATTTGATTTTGAAAATTAATCGTTTTTGGAACAAAATCCACATTCATGGTTAGAATATTGTTCGTTGTAGAAAAATGTTAGATTGAAAATGATTGTCAATGTGGCCCCATTAACGATTAGAAAATCAAACGAAGGCTTCCATGTTCTTTTCAAATGAAATTCTGCTGGTGTATAGCCGGCTTTAGAACCACACTACAGGGCTGATTATCTGTATGAGCTGATCGACTGAAAATCACCGCTGGGCTCAAGTAAAGTTTATGTATAACCAACCCTTTTTGGGATATGTGCGGAAGTGTTAGAGGCTTGCTTGGGTTTTTAATATTCATCTCTTTGTTAGAGATTTTCCTTTAGTTTCTCGTCTCAAGACAAAGCAGGAAGTGAGATGAACTCTTTCCAAAGACAGATCTTCTCTTGGACAGTCATCACTAGAGATGAGGCTGGACATGGTGTGAACCCAGTTCACCTAAGCCTGCTCAAAATTGTGACCACCACTCCCCCTTCTAGGGCCGATCTATGTTGGCAGTGTCATTCACTGCCCCTTTGTGACATATAGCTGTGGGGTGGGGAATGTTCCTCTCTGCAACTGATTGGACTGGGAGGGGAGGTGGCAGTCACAGTTTTGTTTGGGCTTGGGCGAACTCAGGTGGACTGGGTTCACACAAAGCCCAGGCTCATCATTAGTTGTCAGTAGAATAGATGTCCCCATTGGAAATTTTCCCCTCACTTCCTGTTTGGGTGATAACTGTCCCTGGGAACTAAAAGGATATCTTCTCAAAGGGACACACAAAAATAAAATTGACAGGGCCTTTTACTGCCGCCGCCGTAAGTATAATGTAGCGGCAATATTGAGGTGTAAACAAACTTGTGCATGCAGCAGCATCTGCGTGGTCATTTACTTTTAACAAAGCTGCTTTTGGGCTTTCATGTACAAGTGATATTAAGGCAGTGAGCACTTCTATAGCCCAGAAACTTTCTTTCAACAGTGGAGTCCTCCCAGGTCCTCTTCTTTTAAGCCTGCTATCGCTCAAAAAGCGAATGGATTGTACTGATGTACTTTGACCTTGGAGTTCAGCTTCTCTTTGGAAGTTTTTCTTGATCATTGTCTACTATCCTTCTGTTCAGTCTGGGGTCTGGAATGGTTACAATCCCTATCAGGTTTTTATTGCTGTGTATGTCATTACTGGGGACTTTTTGTCCTGGTGACCATTATCACAGTAACAGTAAAGTGGTGGAACATCCACAATTTTACAGGTATCACCAGAACAAAAATATTGGGATATAGGGAAATCTTGCACTGGGGACACTTGTTCTGGTGACAACCAAGAGAGTATTTCCCTTTTATGTTGGAGATATTTTCCTTTCACTTCCCTTTGTGTCTCCAGGACAGAAAGTCAATAGAAATCTCCCCAACAAAAAAAACTTTGAGGGGGGCTTTTACCCTCCCTTACTTTATCCCATTCTTTAGATAAATCATCTGTTACCTTACAGAGGAATGAAGCCTGTGATGGTTCTAAAGGCTCAGTGCCGTTATCCTGTGTGGCTTTTACATACAGTTAGTGCCTAGAAGACTTTGCATTGTCTATCATGGTTTTTTGACGTAGTACAGCTTATCTCATGTTCCCTTCCCACTGCATCTCCATCCTCTTCTTGCTTTAGGAACTACTGGTTGTAGTAAACTGCATTGTGTCAGCTATGTTGTGAATGTAGGGAGGGCAAGAAGAAATATTTAACATGATCGGTTTTTATATTTCATGAATATGAATCTTGCAGGACAGAACTGCTGGAATGTGGAGGGGACAGCGACTTTCTTGCTAAGCTCCACTGCATCCGTCAGGCCTTCCAGGTAAATGGCATTTATACCAGATTTGCAGCTGATATGTTTGTGAAATTGAGAAGCTTTTTTAAATCCGACATCAACTGTACTGAAGATTTGGATAGAATGAGGAAGGGTTCGAATGCCGTCTGTGTCTTTGTACAGGAGATTTGCACTCGCTTTTCTGTTTCTTTAACAATGTCACAACCTGACCACAGGGTGCCACCAGGACAGGAAGTAGTGGAAATTTCCATGGAGATTTCTGTGGAGCCTCTATGTTCCCCTTTAATAACGGCAGCCCTATATGTAATAGAACAATATTAATGGAGCAGTGTCTTGTCAGCTGAATGTTAATATAAAATATATTTTAAGCTCAAGTATAGGCACACATTATCAACCATGTAAACATGAGCTCTCCTGTGTCTCCTGTGAACCCCAAAGATGGAATTGTTGGAATACCTCTCTCCTTTTGCAAGAAAACCACAAATTTGCAGCCTGTGATATGATTAGATGGCCCTCAATGAAGTCCATTATTTGGGCACCGGTGGAATTAGTAATTGTGGCCTGCTGCTAAAAGTCCCTGTACATTATGATTGCCATGAGTCTTCTCTCTTTCAGTGGACCAACTTTTAGGCATGCCTGGAGAGTGCCAGGGAGGGATTGTGGCCAGCCGCATTAGTGGTGAGAGTGGAGCAGGGAACTCACTTATCACTGGTACATGTAGTGCCCACATGCCATGTCCATGCTTGCTGATGATCCGTCCTGGAGTACAAAGAACAATGGTGTAGGTGTCCCTGACAGCCAAACTGCTGAGAAAAGGATTGATGGCACTGGAAGTAATACAGGCAGGCTGGAGCAAAACTGCAGATTATGAGCAGCTCAGCAACAAATGTATCACTTGCTGAAAATGCATTTATAGGACATTTCGGGAAGATTCATTTTTGAAAATCAAAGGCTGGAGTTCAGCTTTGTTCAGGGCCGGAGCTTTTGGCACCCTAAATAACACCCCTCTTCTAGGACTTCTTATATACAGAAAATGTTCTTGTTTTCCTGGCTCTAACCTGGCTTATAATATTGTGATAGCATGTAAATAAACTTGTATAAAGTAACTATTCCTACTGCTCGTATAAAACACATTTCAGAACAAAAATTATAAAGGCAAAAACTGTCTGTCTTCCTTTGCCCTCTATAGGCACATACCTACTTGGCCTCAGCTTTTCAGGCGGTCAAAGTCAAGGTGATTGGGAAAACTATCCACTGTGATTATTGGTCCTGCTAGACCAATCGGGTGGTAATTTGATTACCAAAGGAAGTTACATTATGGCACATAAGGATGACATTCCACTTCTATTTATCTCTGGTCCACTTGATGTAGCAGAACAGTGACAGCTGCATCCTCACCTCCCTCTTATCTTTTCATTTTCAGATGATCCTTTCAAAAACCCACAACAGGATGTTTTTGGTTGATTCTGGTAGAAAAATTCTGTCTACACTTATTGTGCGAGCAAAAAAGGTAAGTCCTTCTGTCCCTCACTTGTTGGCAGTCAGAGTAGGAGATAGACGGACAGGTTGGGGTAAAGAGTTCTGGAAGATCGGAGACAGTCTAGAGAAGTCCTGGAGGCGAGCATGGGAGGAGTTGATGAGGGAGATGGAAAGCAGGAGGTCTTTGGAAGAGCGGAGGGGACGGTTAGGGTGATACTTTGAGACCTGGTTTGAGATATAGCTGGGGCAGAGCTGTGAATGGCTTTGTAAGTGGTTGTTAATATTTTGAATTTTATCCTTTGTGTGATTGGAAGCCAATGCAGGGATTGGCAGAGGATGGAAGCCAGTGGAGGGATTGGCAGAGGGGGGTGGAGGATGGAAGCCAGTGGAGGGATTGGCAGAGGGGGGTTGCAGACATTGAGCGGTTGGTTAGGTGGATAAGTCTAGCAGCAGCATTCATGATAGACTGAAGGGGAGGAGCCTGTGTAGAGGTCGGCCAATGAGGAGGGAGTTGCAATAGTCAAGACGAGAGATAACAAGTGAGTGGATGAGTAATTTTTTTGGTTTCATTGGTGAGTAAGGGGCGTATTTTGGAGATGTTACGAAGGTGAAGGCGACAGGATTTGTATAGTGATTGGATGTGGGGAAGAAAGGCGAGGTCCGAGTCAAGGATGACACCTAGCACCACCGCATGAGGGGAGGGATGGATAGTTGTGTTGTCAGTTTAAAGTCCTTTCCCCATGTTCTTGATCTCAGCTTCATACTAAAAATACTGCCATCCTGAACTTTACTGTATTTAAAGATTTCCATCATGCTCCCCTTTCCCTTCTTTACTCAAGACTGCACATATTAAGTTCCTGCAGTCTCTTCTAATGTGTTTTATCCCTCAGAACTTTCACTATTTGCGTTGCCTGTCCCAAAAAGAAAATTAGGCTCGGGTTCTACTTAAAAAGTATCAGCTGAAAAGAGATTCCATAACCCATTTTATGGCTGTTGATTAGGATGAATTCCATTTTCTTGCTTCTGTATCTCCTGTGACTGATTGTCAATTGATGGGAGGGGTACCCGTGGGGGTCAAAGAAAACTGACACGGAAAGTGTGTGTTACTTTCACTAAAACCCCTAAAAACAGAAAAAAAGGAAACTACTGGTATTTTCTACAGGAACCAATCAGATTGCAATTTTATACTTAGAATCCTAAGAAGTTTGAAGATGCATATGATGAGATGATGCATTTCTTGGAGCAGCCAGAGACATGGGTACATACTGAGATGGAGCTGTTCTCTCGGGGAGTAAGTACTACATTCTATTCTCTGTTATCTATAACTAATTCAAGTCAACTCTGTAACAAGTCTCAACAAATGACTTGACTTGAGGCCCCCCTCAAGTCAACTCTGTAACAAGTCTCAACAAATTGCTGACATGTCATAATAGCAAAGCAACAGTATAAGGCTTTCAGAAAAGCTCATCTTTTATCATAAAATAGGATTGTTGTATTAGCTCCATGGACTTTAAGAAAAGGATTTTGCGGTAAGTACAAAAATCCTATTTTCTTTCTCGTCCATTGAAGGACAAAGGAAGCCTTTAATCTTTGGGACATGCAAAAGTAGTCCTGGTGAGGAGTGAACACCACAGCAGGGAACCAGTCATCCTGAAAGAAGAAGTAGCTGAGAGATAGACTCTTACAGATCAAAGCACATCCAGACAATGGATGGAAATTTCCTTTTGGTGAACTAGGGCCACACAGAGCAATGGAAAAAACTATGTCATGGTTGGAGCCAAACTCAAACTGTCTTGGGAAAGAAGAATGTCCTGGGCCTCAACACTACCTTGTCTCAATGCAAAACCAGAAAGGGTTCGTCAAAGATAAGGCTGCCAGTACAGACACTGTGCTCCCAAATCTGATGCCTATAAGGAATACTACCTTGTGGGTGAGGGTAGAGAGAGAGAGGAATACCTCTATTGGGTTCAAACTCTAGAGAACCAGATTTAGATCCCAGGGAGTCACAAGCAAGTGAACGGGGGAAACTACACGAGAGACCCCCCTGTGAAAAGGTCTTAATCAAACAGCCTTTCCAACATAATAGAGAGAGCAGAAACCTGTGGTCTGGGTCTGAACCAAATGCTGGCCCAGACCCAGATGCAAGAAGCAGAGAATTCTCCAACAAAGTAACTGTTAGAGCGGAGGCCCTGAGACTTACACCAAGTGAAGTACTGTATACCTTCCATGTTCAATGATAGAGCTTATGAGAAGTGGACTTCCTAGCTTTTAGCATTGTAGGATTCACATTCTCAGAGATGCCTCTGTCCCTGAGAACCTGAACAGTCATGCTGTTAAAGCCAGTGACCATGTAGCAGCAAGGCAAATTAAACCTTGGGACACAAGCTGCTGATGATCCAGCAGAGCCCACAGAGGGTCTACCGGGTCTTACCAGGTTGGTATGAGTTCCATGTGGCTCTCTGCAAGCAGGAGCAGCAGTGGGGAGATGCTTCCTTAATACATAATGGCAGGAAAGAGGGTGTGGAGTGTGTGCATGGCACTTTGCCCAGAGTATGAGGTTAGTGCTTAGTCTCACAGTGTTAACACCTTCTAATGCAAAACTGGTGGGAAACAGGAAATAAATGCAACCAAAGCAACTAAGGTACCTCTTGGTACTTAGCTTGACCTGCCTGTTCAATGGAGTGAGTCTTTAGAAACAGGGAAAGTGCTGGGGCAATGCCAGTGACTCCTAACCGGGAAAGCACTCTGCAGCTTAATTTTACCAAAACAGAGTCCAGAAGTCCCCTATGTAGAACCCAGTGTCCAACGGTCATTTCCATGCTATCCACGTAACATCCAATCCAATGGTGTTTCGGTGTGGTACTCCAAAAGGCAGGTTGAGGACGACTGCGTGAGAGAGCTGCAATTGAAGAGACAAAGCTCCAGCAGTGATGTAGAAACGAGTCTTGATTGAAGAAACAAATTTAAAAAAAAGGTGCTAGCAAAAAATAATTTAGTGTTTTACACAGCAGAGCTGCAGAAAAGATGTCCATCCTCCTGCCACACTAGCAAAAACGTAACGCATGCTGGGCGTGCCATTGTCTAGTCCTCCTGTAGGCAGTATTATAACCAAAAGTTTAAAGGCTTCCTGTGCCCCTCAGTAGACAAAAGACATAATTTGAGCTCCAATCCAGTGACTTTGCCTAGACTAAGATGATGTCATCAGTCAGCTGCAGGCAGGAAGAAGAATTTCCTCAGTCTCCTCTCCCCCAGTGATCAGACAGCAACACTGTAAATCTAAGTTGCAAAGTGAGAGGATGCAGTAGGATGTCCTTTGTTATAGGCCTCAGTGCGTTCTAGCCCGATTGTGGCTGGAACGCACTGGATCGCATTGTGGCTGGCTCAGTTTGTTGTGGGGCGTGGCGGTGCATTGAAGTGAATGGCACCGCAGCCACGTGAATGCGATCGGCCGCACGCGAATGCAAGGCACATCACTGTCTGTCTGTGGTCTGGTCCGAAAAAATACTGTAAGCACTATTTGCGTCTGTCGCATTGCAGCTGGAGGGCACAGCTGCGGTGCCATTCACTTCAATGCACCGCCACGCCCCCTCCCGCCCCACAAAAAACTGAGCTGGCAGCAATGCGATCCAGTGCGTTCCGGCCACAATCGGGCCAGAACACACTGAGGATGGTGTGAACGAGGCCTTCCCATCATTCCAAGAGTGTGACACCAATATTTCCTGGTTAAACTTTTTGGACAACAGAGTTAATAGCAGGCACTTCATGGTTCCCGCCTTTAGACTGCACTTTTAGTTTTTGAACAAGTTCTCTTTCATTTATATTTTTTTGGCCTACACATCCTTTCCAAACACATTTGTGCCATACTTTTCCTGTTAGTACATTGTAAATTGTGAAAACGTAAGTGTCGTGAAGCTCCACTAATGTCTTCAATGTGCCTGCAGGTGAGAAATATAAACTTCTATGACGTTTTCCTGGACTTTATTGTGATAGATTCTTTGGAAGATCTGGAAAATCCACCCTTATCAATACAGAACGTTGTGAAAAACCGTTGGCTAAACTCCTCCTTCAAGGAAACAGTGAGTAGTTGCCGAATTTAGTAGCCTGTCAGTGGTGTCTGTGAATAATCACTGATAGCAGCGTTGCCTGGCCAAGTAAGGCAGTCACGTTGGAGATAAGGGGAGATAAGAAGCTTCCATATCTTCACTGATGGTTGCATGGACCTAACACTGAGCTGTCAGCACATAGACTGCTGTTCAGCCGCTGTAGCTGTGTTAGGGCCCGGGATTCAGGAGTGCTCCAGGCGGTACTTGCAGCTGACAATGCGAGATGCTCAGCACCCATCTAAACATTTCTTAAAGTGAATGTAACCAGATGATGTTTAGTTTGCTAAAGCTTTGGATATCATAAAGGCTTGCCGGTTGTTTTTTTTTTCATTTACAGTAATCTAGCTTTTACCTTCTTTTTCATCCTCAGTGTCTCAGTGCTTTTGATCTCCTCCATCCTCTTTCACCCATTTCCTGTCTACATACACTCACTCCAGTGCAGGGCCGTCTTTACCGCAGGACAAAAGGGGCAACTGCCCTGGGCCCCATAATTTACAATAATGTTTAGGTTTTTTGGGGGGAGGGTGATGTAGGTGGATACAGGGGCCAGAGTCCGTTGCGCTGCAGAGTCCAGAGTCCGTTGCAGAGTCCGTTGCGCTGCAGAGTCCAGAGTCCGTTGCGCTGCAGAGTCCAGAGCCCGTTCCGCTGCACGGT